TATTACAAGCCACGCATTTTTATGTATTCTAAGAAATTATATGTAAAAAAAATTTGCTCACAGGTGTTGATGTCTGTTTAATAACAATAATAATAATAGGTTAGTGGCATTACATAATTCTATTAATAGTATCATATCATATGTTTTTGAGGAGAATAACATTTTGGTGTTGAGTCCTGGGTGTGCCGCAAGTAGAAAAAGGTTGTGGAACACTGATGTAATCAATCAATTATAATAGTCTACTGCTATTTCTTTATTGATTTGCATTTATATTTATTTTCTGTTTCTAGTCTGTAAATGAACGATTTTCCTCTGCAGAAAATATCTCAATTCTTATATACATTGGCGTCGTATGATGCTTACATTTATTTGGTTATATATTAGGATATATGGTCAACAGACATATATATCAGGTGTGGGCAAGCAAGAGTTCAGTGGGAGCCGAAATGTAGGTTTTGCAAAATGCATGGGAGCTGTAGTTCTGTACTTTTTTATTCCATACCACAGTTCTGTACTGCAATTTTATTACAATCGCAGTTCGGTACTACGATTTTATTATATAATATAAATATAATATGAAACAAATATCGAATTTTTTTAATAAACATATTTTCACAAAATTGTAGAAATAAAATTGTAAAAATAATAATAATAATAAAAATAATAAAAACAAATATCGAATTTTTTTAATAAACATATTTTCACAAAATTGTAGAAATAAAATTGTAAAAATAATAATAAAAATAAAAATAATAAAAACAAATATCGAATTTTTTTAATAAACATATTTTCACAAAATTGTAGAAATAAAATTGTAAAAATAATAATAAAAAGCAGAATTAACACTTTCAGCAAGAGCCGCATGGGGCTCTCAGAGCTGCATTTGCCCATGTCTGATATATATATATATATTTGATATAAACAAAAAAATGTCTGAATAAAGGTAGTTTCATATGTCTGAAAATGATAAAACTAATTGCCTTCATTCTAAAATTTAAAATAATTAAGTTTCATTATAATTTATAAATATCTACTTAAAAATTTATATTTAAAAACAAATTTTAAATTATATATACATTACCATCAAATTTTAATGAAGACCAATACTTTTTATGTGTTTCAATCACATTTTTGATTGTTATAATTGCACTGAAATAAACAAAATAATTTGAATTAAAATTAATTAATATTTTTTAAAAACAGTTTACCATCTAAAATTTTAACTAATATACAGGTATCCTTTGATTAATTAATTATTCCCTCAATGTTACAGCATATATCAAAATCACATTAATCAAATACAGTATCTATGTTGAGTAAAGGTGGCTGTTAAAGTAACATTAATTAAAACTTCTGCTGCATATATAGGGGGATTGCCACAATTAATTTTGTGCATTAATCAAATCCTGTGTTAAGCAAAACTGCATTAAGCAAATTCTGTAATCAGATTTTCAATATTTCAGATATTTGCATTATAATGATCTAATAAATATACTTAAAAATAAATAATTTTTCATGTTATTTTATTGAACTATTTTCATATCAGAATTAAGAAATAAAATTAACTGATCTTGAAAAAATAATGTAAAATAGAATAAATATGTGAGAGATATGTCACATGAACAAATTTTTTTCTTAGTTCAAAGTTATTTCTTAATTCTGTTTATGAAAATAGCAATCTGTCATTATTTTAAAGCCAGTTTTTATTACTTATGAGTTAGATATAAATTAACATCTACTTAAATAATACTTGAAAAATAGATAATGAAGTTTTGTTCTATAACATCAAATTTACTTATGTTTCTGACACAATATAGTGCTATAAATTAAGACACTTGGCGGATTTTCTCATCTTTATTTAGTTGAATGCGCTGTTCCGGTGTAGTTCTACTTTCATCTTCTCTAAATTTGATGATTTCCGCCGTNTAGCAAAGCACGGTTTCATATCGTCAAAAATCAAATTTACTTTCAAATCACTATTAATTTATTGCATGAGGATAAACATTCTACAAATTTTTATATGCTTACTTCCTGAATAATGCTTAAGATATATATTAGAATATCAGAAATATTCTATTGATCTTAACTAATGTAGAAACCTTTCTATTCCAGGATTCACAGGAATATTTATGTAAATAAAATTATAAATATTGTTAAATATTGAATGTGGGAAAGGCATGATTGAGTTCATAAATCAAGAGCTTATCAGCTTAAGAGTAATTAAGAAAACTCAAATTGGAGATGGTGAATTTGAATCAGAAGATGGTATTCAAGATCCTGATTTTGAAAATGACATCAAAACAGACATGAATGACAATGCAACAATCAACTTGAAAAACATTGAGACAGGTTAACTATGAAAACAGTAATTATTTCAAAATGTTGTGTCTTTAACCAATAAATACAACCAATAAACGTTATAATAATAGTTCCAAAAATGTAAAATAAAAGATATCTTTCAGATTTTATCTCTCGTATTCTATTGCAAGCCCTGGGACTTCAACTAAACTCAAGGTAATGCATATTTTTAAAGATAAACTCATTGGGTTTAATAAAGAAATTACAGTAAATATTTTTTGTTTGATTACTTGTTTCTTCAGGTATTCAAATGTATTTGAAGAAAGTAAAAGTATATACAATATACTTGAATGTACTTTTTGAATAAATGCCTTAATATCTGTTAAATAAAATCACAAGATAACTTTTATTAAAACACTAAAGTTATCTATTTTAGCTTGTAATATTATTCCCTATAATTAATAAATCTGGGTTTTAAATCAAATATATAATAACTTCTAGTTTTAAAAATAATTCTCTTAAAAATAAAAGATATTTATAACTACTAGGGATAGACTGAATAGGAGTTTTGGCCAAATGCTGAATAATTATTTAGAAGTTACTAAATAATCTTGTCTTTCTGACTATCAAATAATAAATATTCAGTTGAATATCAGCTAATTTATTGGAACTGCCTGAAACAGAAGGTTTAGTCTGTAAGTCTTACAATATGGTGGAGGACAGTGTCTTCTATTCAATAATACAGATTATACACATTATTACTTTAAAAAAATTACTATTATGTAATGAAAAAATGAAAAGCAAAAAATTAAATCTTGCCATTGAGATCTGTCCTTTTTTTGGCATCACCACATAGTAGTGTATTTAGAATACATACAATATGTTCAGCAAAGCTGGAAGTATTTATAATAACAAAAACAAAATTGCTTACTTCCTATGAAGGCAGAAGTATTAATCTTTCTCCATTACAATTTTATCACTCTTGAATTGTGATTATTAATAAATAATATTTGCTCAAGATAATTTTTAATGCTGTATTTGTTTCAGAAATGAGTAAATAATGACATTTTTAAATATCTGAAATTTTAAATATTTCCATTCTATTTTGTGTATTATCTTTTTTCTTCTTTTTCTGTCTCTCATTCTCTCCTCAAAATAACATTATCAGCTTTGAGGAAATACTTTGTCCAAATATTGAATATGTGTGTTTAGTATCCAGCCAAACATTGAATACTTACTTTGTGGTAGAATATATTCAAATATCAAATAATGCTGAATATTTGATCCAACACTAAAGATTACTAATATCTCTAAATCAATGATTTTCCAAATTTCCTAATGATATTTGTACATTTTATTGTATATATTAAAGACAAAACTACAACATAAATTTATTTTTAGCTATGATGTTGGTAAAAAAATAACTGTTTTAAGAATTTTATTACTATCATAATGCCTCCTGTAATATCAGGCTAATTAATGGTAAAAGTTTATAAATACTACATCATATGTATTTTCCTAATTTTTAGGGGTGATGCATGTAAAAGGAGCTATAAACTAAATTCATAGAACTCTGCACTGTTCAAGCTACTACCATTCCTTAATCTTGTTTTTGTCATAGTGCATCACATTTGATGGTAGAAGCATACAAAAATGTGTTACATGACCTTGTTTCACCATCATTCAGACACCTAATCACCTGTTCATAACTCATTTAACCATCATAAAATAACTACTGTTTGACTGATTTGAAAAACTAAAATTTATATTAATTCCTTTAATAATAACGTTAATAAAATACTTACTTAGGAGAAGGAGTCAATCCTGATTTTAATGGAAGACATGAATTTCCTAACAGAGCAGCTGTGCAATGAACAATTCCTTCTGAGACCGATTCAACATTATATCCACCCTAAATAATTTTACAGTTTATTTTTATATTAATAAGAAAATTTATTCTTAATTATTTTATTAAATATTAACAAATTTAAGTAATAAATTTAAAAACTATATAACAATGAGTAATTATTTACTGTGACATTGTCACAATGCCAGGCTGCAATTTTTACTGATATTTTTAATTTAATTAATTTTTTTTAACTCTGCCCTGTAGGCACTAAGAGAGCCTTTTTTAGCAAGCCCATTATGGTTTTGGCTAGGCCCACAATAGGGTGGCTAGGTGATGAGGGATGGGGCCAAACTTATCCAAACAGACCATTTCCCAAAAATTTCCTGAGGATTGTTCAACCCATCCAGATTTGATCCCAAGTTCCGCAGAACGGTAGCTGCCACCTTGACTGTTCAGCCATATGGTCATCAATTTATTTAATTTAAAATATTTGCTCTCCACCTCAAATTAGTAGTGACTTGCCCCTGTACATCATACTTTTCTTTTAACAATAGAGTCATGCTGGTCATCTATCTAATACTTTTCAGGAAAAATTTTTTAATTGAAATAACGTGATTTCCAGTTTGCATCAGAAGTTCTTATATAGTTAACCAGGGCCTCCAGCCCAAGGTTTCCATATCTAGAATCATGTTTCATATATTTAACTCCATTCTCAAGATTAAGGAAAGATGAACGGACAGACAACATTGAGAATTTATAGGTCTACAATTTTTTTCAAATTGCAACCCGAAAATCTGCTTTGCTGGAGTTGTTAGGGGAGAGAAAAACTGACTTATTTTACAAAACTACAGAATATAAAAAAATAAGGTAATAATACAATAAAACAAGAAAATCCACCCATTTCTAAGTCAAGTAAATTTAGCAGTTAAGAAATGCTATTTAAAAATTGCCACTGACTTTAATTTAAAAGCTACATAATTCAGAAATTCATAATTAATTAATTTGTAGTCATGATAAATAGGCTGTTGTTTATATTGTTCACTTCTCAAGATATTGGTTTGGTTTCCCTCCTTTTCATCACCAGATTTGGTGGTGTTAAATTCTGTCTCATTTTCTTCATTTACCAAATTTATAGCACTGTTATGTGTTTCCTCCATTTCTGATATTTTAAATAAGATTTTATGGTTTGTACATAGACCAGTTTCACATTATTCTGGTCTTTCATATTTTCAATCAGCTAACATATTTTTGATTTTCTAACCCACACACAAACATTTCATTAAATAGAAAAACTCTTTTTATTGCTTGCTTTTTCATCACTCATTCTTATATTAAAGTTAAATAAATAAATTAAAATTGAAGTAACAGTAGAACCTGTAATTATAAGTATTTATCAAAGAAATAAAAGTTTTATTTTATTACATGAATTAAACTTCCTCCTAACATTTGCTACTAATTTGCCTATGTATATAATCAAAATTAAAATATCTCATTTTTTTCACAGTAAGTTTTAACAAATGTTTTGTCATAATTAAATATATGTGAATAGATAAAAAAAATATGAAATAACTGTCCAATGAGGATTGATTATAATGTTTCAACCATAAAAATATTGTAAAATTCAAACTTCTAAATAAAAAACTATACTTCCTTACTGTCATTTTATTTTAATAATTTATTTTGGTTATTGAAAGTTAATTTCAATAAATTAAATTATACATTATGCATACCTCTAAAGCTACAATTAGTTTCCCTTCAGCAAGTGTTTTTAGAAGGTGAACCATATGTCCATAACATTCTGGTGAAATTTCACAACCACCCTGAAATATATACATAGACCTTTATGTTACAATAATGAATTATAATTAGTAATTAATNTATATATATATATATGTATATTTAAATTTCAAGACATTAGGGTCTCTAAATAAAAAAAGTCATGTGACAGAACTGATTAACATTTCATGTAATATAATTTATTTGAAGAAACTTGTTAATTTGTCATGCAGCTGACTAACAAATTAAAAATAGGAAATATTTAGAGATATGAGAGAGCAAGGTTAAATTAGCCTTGCAGGCTGATTATGGACAGAAATATCTACCAATTTAAAATAGAGTACAATTTAAAATTTTTTGAAGAATCCTAAACAATAAATTTTTACTATTGAATTTAATTTTATTCTACAAAACATAAAAATAAATTCCAAAATAAATTACATTCTAGATTCTACAAATTCTTGAAACTACATTTATGAGCATATATTTTTGCATATCAGATGAACTAATTTTTTAAATAATAATTTTTATCAATGTAGAACTAATTTATTTTGGTTATTGAAAGTTAATTTCAATAAATTAAATTATACATTATGCATACCTCTAAAGCTACAATTAGTTTCCCTTCAGCAAGTGTTTTTAGAAGGTGAACCATATGTCCATAACATTCTGGTGAAATTTCACAACCACCCTGAAATATATACATAGACCTTTATGTTACAATAATGAATTATAATTAGTAATTAATTGTATTATAGTACAATGTCAGAAGTAAAAAATCTTATTTTCACTAAATGAATTTTCTAATTTACTCATATAAAATAAAAAGAAAAATTCAGCTTATATTCAGGTTTAAATACATTAATGAAATATTTAGAAAGTAAAGGTAAAAATATAATAGAATAAATTTTCCATATTATGAGCATTATCTTGATCTTCTCCAATCATAAATGTATTAAATCATCTAACCTTATTTGGCACTTTCTGAAAATAAGCTAAAGATTCTACACTCTTATGAAATAAATAA